TGCCTCTGCGTCTCGCCGTCTCCTCAACTTTAATGGCATAGTAGATTGAATAACTTCTCCTCAGCCGGCTAAGCCTCCTCAACTTCTCCTCAGCCGGCGCCGCCCCTCCTCTCTCTCCCAAGTCCAGAGTCACGCTTCACAGAGTCCAGAGTCGACGCAAAGTCCAGACTCCACTTCGCAGGTCAGACTTTTTGTTTTTGTTTTTTTATTGTTTTTTTGAATGCTTATTGTTTCTTTATTGTCTTCACTATGTGTATTATTATATTCTTAATTTCTTATAGATATATTTTTTCATTTTTTTGTACAATAGTTTTTCACCGATGGCAAAAACTTCCTCCAAAAGTAGTCGAAAAGATTTGGCTTGGAAATATATTCGACTTGAGGATCTTAAAAATACAAATAATACTACATGTATTTTTTGTAATAACTGCTATACTGAAGGAATTAGTAAAGCAAAGCGACATATAGTTCGTGGGTATTCTGATGTAAAGGCATGTGACAAAGTGTCTCATACCGTGAGAGAAGAGATTCGACAACAAAGTGCTAAGACAATGAATAAACAGGAGAGCTTAAATGAAGAAGCACTTAAAGAGTTGCAAAGTCGAGCATGTTCGGCCATATCAAGATGGATGTGTGATGCTGTTATTCCTTTTAATGTAGTGAACTATGAAAGATTCCAAGAAATGATTGATGCAATTGGAAACCAAGGCTCAAGAATGAAAGCTTCATCTTATTATGAGGTAAGAGTTTCACTTCTCAAAAAAGAAGTTGAGCGTGTGAATAACTCCATGGAAGGCCATAAAGAAGAATGAGTGAAACATGGTTGCTCCATTATGTCAGATGGATGGAAGGATAACAGGGAGAGGGCATTAGTTAACTTTTTAGTTAATTCTCTCAAAGGTAGTGTGTTTGAGAAATCTATTGATGGTTCTGAGTATTATAAGACAGGTGAAAATATCTTTGAGCTTCTTTATGATTTTGTTGAAAGTGTTGGATCACAGAATGTGGTGCAAGTGATTACTGACAATGCTTCAAGCATGAATAGTCCAGATTTGATTCATGAGTCCTTTATATTTTCCTAAAAATTTAAAAAGTACATATATTTAGATTTTTTGTTTTTATTATGATTTTTTTTAGTTTAAAATATTTTTTTCAATTTTTTGTAATAACATGAGACTTATTAATGGCAAAGTATAAGCATTTGTTCTGGACACCTTGTGCTGCTCATATATATTATATTACATTTATTTATTTATATAATGTTTGCCATTTGACTGCCCGTCTCTTGCCACGCTTCTCGCCATAAAAAAGAACCTCTCGCCTGCCACCTGCCATTCGCCATTCACAACAATGGATAAAATAAGTTGCACAAGGCAACTTATTTTATTTATATATATATATGAGCTGCACAAGACATCCAGAACAAATGCGTATGCTTTGCCATTAATAAGTCTCTTGTTATTACAAAAAATTGAAAAGAATATTTTAAACTAAAAAAACATCAAAAGAAAAACATAAAATCTAAATACATGTACTTTTTAAATGTTTAAGGAAAATATAAATGACTCATGAATCAAACCCGCACTCGTCATGCTTGAAGCATTGTCAGTAATCACTTGCACCACGTTCTGTGGACTAACACTTTCAACAAATTCACTAAGAAGCTCAAAGATCTTTTCACCCGTCTTAGAATACTCAGAAGCAATAATAGATTTCTCAAACACACCACCGTTGAGAGAATTAACTAAAAAGTTAACTAATGTTCTCTCCCTATTATCTTTCCATCCATCCGCCATAATGGAGCAACCATGTTTCGCTCATTCTTCTTTATGGCCACCCATGGATTTTTTCACACGCTCAACTTCTTTTTTGAGAAGTGGAACTCTTACCTCATAATAAGATGGAGCTTTCATTTTTGGGCCATGGTTTCCAATTGCATCAATCATTTCTTGGAAACTTTCATAGTTCACTACATTAAAAGGAATAGCAGCATAACACATCCATCTTGATATGGTCGAACATGCTCGACTTTGCAACTCGTTAAGTGCTTCTCCATTTAAACTCTTCTGTTTATTCATTGTCTTAGCACTTTGTTGTCCAATATGAGTATGACTAACAAACATATCCATAGGTCCCTTCCTGTTCAACTTTGGCCTTTTAGATTTAGCCAATTCACTAAATCCATCGTCATCTCCATAGTCAATCAAAGCCTCTTCATTAAATTGCTGTTGATCAACTTCTCTGCCTAGCACAATCTGATCTTTTGTCTTCTTCTACTCAGCCATATAAGATTGAATCTCTTCTCTCACGGTAATAGACACTTTGTCACATGCCTTTACATCAGAATACCCACCAACTATATGTCGTTTTGCTCTACTAATTCTTCCAGTATAGCGGTTATTACAAAAATACACATAGTATTATTTATATTTTTAAGATCATCAAGCCGAATATATTTCTAAATCAAACCCTTTCGATTATTTTTGGAGGAAGTTTCTTCCATTGGTGAAAGACTATTGTACAAAAAATAAAAATTTATCTATAAAAAATTAAGAGTATAATAATACACACAATGAAGACAATAAAGAAACAATAAGCATTCAAAAAAAGAAACAATAAGATAACAAAAATAAAAAGTCTGACCTGCAAAGTGGAGTCTGGACTTTGCACCGGCTCTGGACTCTGCGAAGCGCGACTCTGGACTCAGGAGAGAGAGGAGGGGCTGCGCCGGCTGAGGAGAAGTTGAGGAGGCTGAGCCGGCTGAGGAGAAGTTATTCGATCGACTATGCAGTTGAAGTTGAGGAGATGGCAAAACGTAGAGGTAGTTCGATCGAATCAGTTGAGGATTAATAGGTCAACGCGTTTTTTTAAAGTCAAGCTTCTCCTTTAAAAATCTTTGACCTGCGTCTGGGGTAGATGGCGAAAGCCTATCGCCACAGAGTATGGCGTCCTTGGCAAATGCCATAAGCGAGAATGGTGTAAAACGCCACGCCTGGTCTGAGAAAGGCATCAACTGCTCACCACAAAACCATAGGCGCCATGAGGCGAGCAATATGGCATATTGCACAATGCCATTTCAAACATTGCATTAGAGCCTCTCTATCTTTGTATTAGATGAGGCGAAAGACTTGCTTGCTCTCGATTTTACCATACACGTGTCGTCACTAGGAGTCCTTGCACGTATCAGAGTATACTTCATTCCTTATTTGTCAAACGTAAATTATAACTCAATTTGCCTCCTCTCACATAATTGTCCCACGGGTCCTAGGGAGAGACTTTATGGATTGGGTTCATTCTTTATAAATGAAAAGAGACCTTTCACCTTTTACAATGATATACAAAGTAGTTGAAGTTGAGATAGGCTATGGGCAAGATGGTAGTGAAAATATAGTTATAAACATTGTGAATAGCTCAATCTCCATAAAACAACATAATAGGACATTTATGCAACAAAGACTTTGAAAGAAGCAGAGTAATTCTAGAAACAAGACGTAAGAGGAATCAGAATATTTGTCAATCCTTCATAGGAAGGGATGACTCAAATGGAGTTGGAGAACTAATTGGAGGCATAATAAAAGCTACAAAATCATATGCTTTGCCTTAACATCCTACATTCATATACTAAGTAAAAAAGAAGAAAGATAAACTACATCCTACGGTCTCTAGGACGGGACCGGATTAAGTAAGTTGAACTTTTATTTTAGACTAATAAATATTGATTGAAAGTTGTCCTTAATAGGGGTAAGGATTCAATAGGAGGTAAATTGACCTTTTATGCAATGATTGAATGCTACGCATGTTCGTCTTTTATTGTCATTGTCAGGAGTTGAATTCAGACATAACCCCATTTTACATTTTTTATTGACCAATTGAGTTATATCTAATTCTCAACTATAATTGCAGCCCCAAAAATACCAACTACATGACCTTGGTTCTTGGAACATCTCCAACTGGTAGGATTTATGTTAAAATATAAACTCTTTAGAAGATATTTTAGCTGTTCTCCAACCCCAATGGGCGGGAAGGCCATAATTTAGCAAGGAAGCTAAATTTGATGTTCCACCCTCTATAGATAGAGGATTTGCAGAACCGCCATATTAGTGTGAGCACCTAAACTTTTACTTTAGGACGTAAGTTTTTTTGGGCACATAAGCTTTTCTTATTCAAATATTCAAATTTAAGAAAAGTAAAATGTATGGTCTAAAATAATGCAGAGAAGAGAAAAAGATTGTAAGTCATTCAAATTATTCCAAAAAAAGAAAAAGGAGGCTTTTTTGGGGACGTATGGAAAAAAATTTGGAGTCTTTTTTAGGATGTAAGAAGTATATTATCTAGATTTTATTTTTTAAAATACCTAGTAATTTTAAAATAAATAAATATGGGCAAATTATTTGTAGTTCTAAGGTTAATCCTCATTTTATGGATCTTAATGCATTCATATCGTAAAAAATTTGAGTCTTTTGCAAAAATATCAACTTGCTAGCCCATGAAAAATATGAGGTCACACTTTATATGGACCTTAGGATTATAAAAGAATAGCTCATAAATATAATATTTGAAGAAAATCTAAGAATAGGTAATGTTAAGTCTTTAACTATACATGATTAAAAAATACCGAAGTACTCCGTAATAAAATATAGTAAAGGTGAATAATATCGGCAAGGTTATATTGCCATTTATTTTGGATGTCATAATGTGACACGGGTCCTTACAATATTTCCTTTGGAAAATTGATAATTTTCCCTATAATACTCTCGGTAAACCCCCATCCGGCCCGACTCGAATCCCTATAATATGCAATGTAGCATTACTTTGTATACAATGTCTAGTTAATTCTAAGCTAAGATGTACACATCCATCCATGTTTTCTTTGTATTTTTTCAAACCCATGAGGCACCTTCTTGTTCAAATAAATATTGTCAACTGGAGAAGTTAATGAGCTCTGCAGAAGTGTGCAAAGTACTATAAATTAACCTACTCTAGATCAACAGATCTATTTAAATAAGTAAGAAGTGTTATTCCCTCTTCGACAATCAACAACCGACATACTCGAGCACAACAACCCAACAAGGTCCCAATAGTTGGGTTTGTTAAGATTGGTGTACGATACGCAGACCTTACCCCTACAAGTACAACGGATTATTCATCTACCGAAACCTTGACCCCAAATCAATGTGATCATTCATCCACCAAAACCCCCCTTCTCCACATTGAAAACAGGTAATGGAGATGCACATACAGCAGCAAGACATACAATGGTAAGGAAAGACTTTGTAGCATCGCGGCACTATAAATGGTTCTCCAGGGATGACATGGCATGACAACGTTTTCCCGTTATGCCATTGCTGAAATTTGGAGATGGCATCAACTCATTTTTCTCTCGAAGAGGAGAAAGAGGACTACAGTGGAGTAGTGACGGTTCCTCAAAAAATGATTTGCATTCACTACTTCCAGAGAAAAGACCGTTCGTTTTTTGCTGGTAGATTCCATCAAAGTTGGCGGCATGACCTTCTCCGTCCCCTGATACGGGTACTATCTTATCACGTGACCCGAACCTCTTGGATTCTTCATCATTCTTATCAGAGCAGTAGCCACATTCAGCAATCTGTTGACCGTCCTGCATTGCAAGATCATCATACTCCTCGTCTGATTTTGTAGACTCCTCATCCACAGACCCCTCCAGCTGAATAAAAAAAGAGCTAAAAAATAAGATAGGATAACGGCTACTCGGCTAGGCTTATCAACCAGATTTTTTTAACCAAAGACTACAAATTTGATTTGAGGCTTGGACTATGAAAAAGAAAGTGACTGAGTTTTATAATTGTAAAAGTTTAAATGAATACGAGTATATCTTAAAGATACTACGAGCATAATTTTTAATAATTTATTACTATTAAAAAAACTAATTTTCGATAAATCAAAAGAATGAGTTCATTAAGTCATTTCAATCACAATTTGACCAAATCCAACGTATCCCATAAACATTACCTAGAGGAGAGAAAATTCATGTTCATTACTGTAAAAGAAAATAAAGTGGGGAGTGTTTTGGGACATCCAAAAAGGGAATGTGGAATGTGTTTTTGGAATGGATCGAGTATAGAAAATACTATGTAAAAACGTAAAGCTAATCCACGGTACACCACACCTTATCGGTGATTAAGATTTCTGAAGGATTATAAATGAATATTACTCCATGCTCTGTATCAACAGGTTATACAGGCGGTGCTAGACGCAAGGTAAGCAATATGGAAAAGAATCACAACGGACATGCCATTGCATTAGCAACACATGCATACCTCTTCATGAATATGTTTTAAATCTTCATTAGAATCCTCATCACTGTCTATTTCAGGCAGTTCGTCAATTTCTTCATCACTACCATTCACAAATTGTTCCTCTCTGAGCTGTTAGAGGAGAATAAGGGCAACTCAGTGAGATGAAACCTAAAAACTGAACTCAAAAGGTAAGACAGGTCCCATCAATAGCACAAGCGAATGTAAAAGCAAACGGTAAAAACAAAAGCTAAATATGTAGTAACTACCTGGTACAACACAAAAAGCACATGAAGATGAGTCTCNCCCCCCCCCCCCCCCCAAGAAAAATCCCAAGAAACAACACTACATGATCAACTGAAACACACCTCTTTGGAAGGTCCTTCACAGAACCTTGGTGAACTGCAGGAAGATGAATGATACCTGCTGCCATTGTCAGTCAGCTCACCCCTTGATCCATCCACACTATTAGCACGGCTTGAACATCCAGTGTCATTTAGCCAATCACTAATCCCAAAGTAGCCAAACTGCAGATTGACAGGCTCAGCGTTCTGAACATGCAATGGTCCATATATAGGACTGCCTATCTCACCACTCTTAACATAATGGTCGATGAGTAATTTGTCATTGGTATCTGATGAGTATATTGGCCAAGCCTTTGCCACCGAACCATCGTTATTGAGAAGAGCCATCAAATGCTTAGAAGAACCATTTCTTTGAAGTAGTTTAAGCACACCCTTGGAACTCAATGAATTTGCAGCACGATGATTCATGTATTCCTCATCAATAACAGCAACTGTGTTTGTGGAGGGATCATAAAGCTTATCCCCTGCCTCTCGCCTCCTTAGACAACTGAATGCTGTTGCATGAATAGATGCTACACTTCTATCAACATTAGTGTTGTTAACCTTTGGCACCAGATGCTTGTCAGCGCAGCTGCAGAGATATTCTTGTATCGTCCTGATGTTACGTATATATTTGACATACTTGTTTTTAGCAGGATCTAGTGTCATGTGCTTTGCACGGACTGCAAATCGTTCCAGATGCTTCTCTTCATTTGCAATATAAATCATGAAAGGAATGATTGAAGGGTGTTTTTTCATTAGACCCATCTGCAAGGTGAAACTGAATTTGAGATCCACAAGAGGAAAACCAAGGATAGATTTCTCAGTCATAATATTATTAGATGTTAAATTCATACCACAAAATTTAGACTCAAATGAACACCCTCAACAATAACCGATTCTTTATTATCTTCCCACACAGTGATTAACCTGTCGAGACTGTCAATGACCATCTCACTCTGAGCCTTAAATCCTTCAATTGCCATTTGTTTTGGACTGATAGAATTGGTGGCAATAGTAGCATCCTTTTGTAGTGCTTGGATAGAATAACCATCTAACTTCTTTGCTCTCCTTTTGGCCTTTGCTTCAGCAACAGCTAACGGATCTAAATGTTCCCCAGCATGGTAAGTTGAAGACCAAAGTAGGGGGTTTTCCTTTTCAGTGACAAAGCTCCTCCTCATGTGCCTAATTGAGTCAGTGGATATCACAGTCGTGATTCCCAGCCTGCTTCCCTGTAGAGGATGATTCAATAAGAGAAACTAATCAAATTATACAAAAATGATACACAGCACAATAATGTGAAATCTATACATAAACTACATTTAGTTATAGTGTTAACATAATATTATTTACTCCATTTGTCCCAAAAGAAATTCACAAATTCCTTTTTCATCAGTCCCAAAATCAACTTCACACATCCCTCATTTTCTTTTAAGGAAATGAATATGTTGCTCACAATATTTTTCTCTCTTTTAAACAAATTCCAACCTCACACTTTTCACTTTTTAGTTCACTTCCCAACACTTTTCTTAAAAACCATGAAATCAAACTATGAATTTCTTGTGGGCGGGAGCATATCATTAGCTTAGTAATTTCTTTTTAGAAATTTCATGCAATTGGTTAACATTTATTAGTAATTATTCCCCACACTAATTAGTGCTTAAGAGCTCTACCAGCAAAGCGGAGAGAGTAGATTTTCCACATCCACTTGTCCCACACAATAGCAAAGTAACAGATTCCTTTCTTTCACGTATCCTGCAAAACCGATTGCATTAATTAGTGTGGGGAATAATTACTAATGATGAATCCATCACTGTTTGATTAAAACTTGAAAGAAAATATTTCCTTGAAAATGTTTTTCAGACCTATAGTTGGGAACAAAAACCTTTTCTTGAGGGAAAGTACTTTCCTTCATTATTTTCATTTCTTTGGAAAATTACTTCCTGTTTTCAAACGAGGAAGTCATTTTCTAAAACAAAATATATGTTTTACTGTGCGAGGATTGCACATTACATTATGTATAGAACAACTTACTATCTACCAAAACATTTTTATCATCTAATTTTCCAAAAATCAAACAGAGCCTTGATAGTATAAATTACCATGCTAAAACTGACAGTTACCGAACCAATGCAATCATTCATGGTAATGTTGAAGTATTATTTTTTGGGGCCATATGGTGGCGACCTGACCTAAAATTAATTTTTTTTTTCATTTATTTGATACATAAATGTCATGAACAAGACAAAATTTGAACAAGGAAACAACAGAAACTCCCATATGCATCGGTCATAAATACGGAAATTTTTCAAAATTGAATGATCAGCTCGCTTACCTGCACGCGATAGTTAGATCAGCCCTCTGATGTGGGCCCACGTACTTGTATTCGGTGAGAGCATCACTTACAACGTCGAGAAATGTTTTCCTTCTAACCACCACAGTTGTCCTTTTTTTATACAACTCAAATGATTTCCTCATGCTTACATCACTCTCTTCATGATGGTATGCATTTAGGTTATGTTGCTCCAATATGTCTGTACACGCTGAAACTGATATCACATCTGTACATTCACTTCTGATCTTCTCAAAAACCCTTTTGCTGATCTGATCAGAAAAACAAATATAATGTATTGACAGCTATCCACAGGAAGTGAAAGCTTATAAATGGTATGGTAGTTATTACAGATAAATTAACATCTTTTAGCATGCTATCCATCAGTGATATTGTAGATCTAAAAACTCTCTAATATCATGTATAAAAATGAAAAATAAAGTAGCAGGTGTAATAGAATATTATTTATTATAATAATCATAATATATGTGAATATTACACAAAGTGGATCTACATTTTCAAACCCCCCCCCCCATTATGTCTAATGGCTCCAATTTCTATATATTTGATGATTTCCACTCTGAGTTTCAGATTATAACAAAAGAATCAAATCAATTTCAATACCAATATACCATCAATAAAATGATAAGCATAAAAATCATTTCAATTAAGAATCTTTTAAATAGCTATCCAAATATTTAATTGATCAACGGGTCACAAATATTCTATGGGCACTAAATAGATTTAAAAAATGAAGAGTAGGCATATTACTAATGCCCAACCCCTGATACATAATAAGTTTGGTAAATGATAATTGGACAAGAAGACAGACCCGCTAAGTAAGGTATGTTTCAGAAAGAAATATATAAAAGTTGCAACTCTTCATCATAAATACAGATAACTTTCATCTAGTTTTCTTAAATTTAATTTTTTACTCTCCGTCCCAAAAAGTACTTTCTAGTTTCCACTTTCCCTTTTGGACGTTCCAAAAAAAAGGTTTCCACTTACTTAATTTCCTTTTAAAGTAATGAACAAATGGTTCATATGATTTATCTCTTGTCTAAATACATTTCAACCATGAAAGTCAAACTAGAAAATGTTTTTTGGGACAGAGGGAGTATTTCTTAGAATGAAGTACTAGTGGGTTCGTTTGGTAAAGTTTCCGGATTATTTTTTTTTGAGAAAATTGTTTTCTTTTTTTTTCTTTTATAATTTGTACAACATAAAACATGTTTTTGAGATCCGTTTGTTATACACTGCATATGATATTATATGATTTACTGCATATGATTTTTTTAAAATTTTAAGTGTTCCATGAATGGAGTTAGCTTCGGAAAAATGTGATGAAAAACAACGAAGCATCAAAATAATATTTCAAAGTCTTTTTTTTTCTGAAACAGAAAACAAAAGCATGATTGGCAAACATCTTTTATTGTTTCAGTTTTCAAAAGCATGGAATGATAATATGAAACACAATAAAATTAACAAATGACACCTAAGCTTGCTGCTTGCTTCTGAGATTGATAATAGAAAATCCAAGAAGCATTGGCTAAATTTACAAAAAAGGTCTAGCACTTACAAATATCATCAACCAACTGTTTATGATGTCAAAGAACTGAAAAAGGGAAAGAAATGCACAACTAAAGAAGAGTAATGAAGTAGACATATAATATCAGTATCAGATGGACAACTAACCACAGAAAACCACCATCAAAGCCTAATAAAACACCTCATATCAAGAATCTTTGTTGAATTCTTATAATTTATTTGCTATAAGAACTACAATAAATAAATAAGTAAACAAATATAGCTCATCCAATCCTAAATAAGAGCTCATTTTGACCGAGCACGGAGGTTAAGAGAATGAAAAAGGTGTAGTTGAGACGTTAGAAGAGAGACAATCAACATTCAACACTCAATGGTTTCCTTAAAAGCACATGAAGATAATTTCGGGACGGGCTACAAAGTAAAATGGGAGCACTTAACAACTACAATTGAAAAGCGAAGAAGAAACAATACTCGAAATGAGAGAGTAGAACTACCTTAAAGGCATGTCTCGGTTTGCATCCCATGAGCTGCAGAGTACTCTGTAGAACGGAACGGGTGTACCGGAAGGCATCCTTCTCATTCACTCTCAGCTCCCCATCCCCAGTCTCTTCGCACCCCTCCTCCCCGTCCACCACCACTACGTACAACAGCTTAGTCACTTCCGCGGCCATTCTCTGTCTCAATTCACAGCAGGAAGAAATCAGGCGCAATGAACGGGGGAAAAAACGCAACATTGCAAACGCAGAAAACTGGAAATCGAAACCAGAAGCCGGAAGAGGAAATCATAGAACATACAAATTCGCGGGAAAATTAAAAAAAAAAAACATTCTTGAAATGCAGGCAATCAGGAATCGAAGACGGACCTGGCGATGGAAGGAAACGTGGATTTGAAATCAGAGAGAAGAGAACCTGTTAGGTTAGGGTTTACAGGGCGGGAATTGAACGGGACGAGAAGGAGGTTGAATAGGACGATTCGTCGTCATGTCCGGCAGTCCATGCCTTTTGCATCTCATCTCGAACTGGCCTTTGTCTATATATATATATATACGGGAGCATATATGTATGTACTCTCCGTATAAAGCAAAGCGGGGTGACGCAGTTTCCAAAAATAACCTTTTTGTTCTCCCCCTTCTTCTTCTTCTTACCGTTGTTAATTACGGTGTGAGACGCGGATTTTCGTTTGACCATTTTGGAATGGACCGCTTAAAACCGAATCTCATTCTTATGGCATGCTTCAAATTTTCAAATGCTACACGTATATATATATATATATATATATATACACACTCTAATATGGTGTTTTAATATTCGGATTCCTTGTACTCATTAGTGATGTCAACCCTTCGCAGCGAGATGCTTGTTAGCGCAGTTTCAGAGATATTCGTGTATCGTCTTTATGCTTCACGAGAACACTAAAAAAAATTTGATATGGGAAGATATCAAAACACATATTTCATGCGCTTGCTAAACATGTAACAATTATTTTAATCTAAATGATTTTAATTTCAAAAACTCATATATATCCGTCCCAAAATAAAAATTGTAGTTCCTTTTTTCGTTGTTTGATTGATATTATATTATATTTTTCGTTGGAGTATTTAATTTATTTCAAAATTTGGATAGAAATATAAATAAAAATCATGTATAAAAAATTGACAATAAAAAAAATACTTCATTCGTCCCATAATGATTTACACACTTCACTATTCAAAAATTACGAGAATTTTGTTTTTTGCACAAAGAACACAATACTTATATTAACCAATAAATCAAGTTCATACAAATAAACATAAACTCAATAGAGCCCCCCCTACTCTTACAATGCCCTCATAAAATTAAAGTAACAACACATATAAGAACTGATAAAATTCACAGGTTCTTCTATGGAAAACTCCCCTTGTTTAATCTTCTTATTTCACAATCTCTAAATGGCATACACACCAGCAGCTCATAATGCAAGGACCAGCTTCCTTCTTTTCCCCTGAAGTCTTTGTACTACCAACTCCAACTCCCCCAAATTAGAAAATTGGATGCTAACCTTAAAATCTGAAAAACTCCTGTAAATCTCCTAAGCAACCACACAGTCCCTGAGTCCCAAAAGATGCAAGTGTTTGTCTGTTTCCTCCTCAACATCACAAAAAGTACAACTTGTGTTAATGTTAATAAATTTGCTGCAATCTCCCTTTCATCATCAACCACCCTTTCATCATCAACCACCCTAGGTTTGATAGTTTCACCCTGAAGCCAGTCACAACCATCTCCAATCTGATATTCTTTACCAACAAACATGTCTTTGAACTAGTCTCTAACTTGTACCATCTCCCTCTAGTGATGGCAGGAATCAAGTTTTGGAATTTTGTTATTTGTGTGTTCTCATTGATTATTTGATGAAATAAAATATATTTGTAACTTTTGTTTTGTAGAACTTCTATTATACTTTTTAAATATGTAAGTTTTTTTTAAATTTCTTTATCAATCTTTAATCAAATAAATCAAAAACATCGAGATCTTGTTTTATTTTGCGTAAAGTATAATTCATTTAGAGACAAAAAAAATGTAAAACAACAGGCGATATGAGTACTTACTCGAAGGGTATGGTCTAATGTTTGTGATTGTGTGTACCCTCCCATACACATTGCATGGGCTAGAGAGGGAAATTATTAGATATTGGTTACATGTTGTCTTATGCATTTGTGGTGTAATTGTTGTATAGGGCAAGACCCATTATTCGACATGTGAGCCCTATGTACAAAGATAGACGTGCCATAACTCGGTCCTAGCTTGTAAATAGGTCATTAGGTCTAGCTAGGCTCTAACGTCTCCTTCTGTTCAACTTATTTTTTCTATTTTTTCTTATTCTTATTAAAATCAGATCAAATCAAATCAAAATTAATAAAAAATTATTATTATTATTGGGAATTATTATTATTATTATCATCATTATCATTATCGTTATTACTCCATACTTTTTAAATTTCATACTTTTTACATGTTTCACTTGATACGATTCTTTCAAAAAATAAATTTAATTTCTCTTGAAAAAAAATATAAGAAGAGAGAAAATGAAACTTATGTGCGATTATAATTTATGTAGAGAAAAATAAAATGATATGAAGCACAATTTTTTTCTTAAAAATGAAAAAGAATAAATTTAGAAACAAGTTAAATAGAAAACAGAGAAAGTAATCTTTAATTATTAGACGTCGGAAAAATTATTTTTAAAATACATTTACAATGTCAATCTATTTCTACTTTTAAAATACATTTTATTGCTACCTGTAATTTGCGTTTCTAAAGTTTTGATCTTTTACTACATCGAGTTGATCAGATTTGATCATGATTTAAATAAAATTAACATTTGATATTCATATACGGATTATACTTTAGCGTAACTGAAACAATTATTATATTTATGGTATTATATTAATCAAAAAATATTTCGTAGTACAAAGAACACGTTGAATTGAATTTTTTAAAAGACTAAATTTAGAATAAATTATGGAGAAAATATTCGAGTAGAATTCAAATTAAACAAATGGATAGAGTGCAAATAAAACAATAATCATAAAATAAAAAAATTATTACATTATAATATAAATGATTATTCTAGTATATGAATTAAATAATCTTATTTTATTAAAAAATAATCATAAAATAAAAATATTGATTATATTATAATATGAATTATCATTACATTTTTCAAAAGTTATTATAAAGTCAAATCAAATCATTGATTTAAATTTTAAATCAAATCATAATTAATCTGATGAGATCAAATTCAATCAGATTAGATTCAATCAGATTAGATCTGATCAAATCCAATCAGATCAAAAATAATAAGTTGAACGGAACGGAGCCTTAATTTGGGACAAGGATATATTATTATAATTCATTTCGTTTTCTTATTATTATTAAGATCAGATAAGATCAAATTAGATATGATCATATCAGAAAAAAACTTTAAATATAACTATAGTCAGATTGGATTAGATCATATCAGACCTTATTTAACTCAAATTAGATCCAACCAGATCAGAAAAATAGAACATGTTCAAGGTTGGATTCTTTTTCTACACATTTTTCATTAATTTCATCCAAAACCACATGAAAAAATATTCTCCCTACGTCCCTAAATGCTTGCCACATTTCTAAAAACAAGATAAAATATTGAGTTTTTTTCATTTTCTTTTATTTAAATATTAGTATATAAACAAAAGCTAAAATTTATACATTTAAAAACTACATGAAAAGTTATTCGAAATAAGACGCATCAATAATATATTATTTAATCAAATAACCAATGAAAATGTACAAATAAATAAAAGTTCTTGTGACTTTAAAAAAAGAAAATGAGGCAAACATTTTAGGACGAAGGAACTAAATTTATTGAATTTCATTCCTCTCCCTCCTTTCCCATACACTTCATCCCACCTTCCATTCAATCCCAGCAAAATCATTCTAAAAATTAAAGTAAACGCCGTGCTAGACTCCCAAAGGTGTTTTTTAGAACTAAACTCCCAAAGAAAAGCATAAGCTAGACTCACAAAGAAAATCTTTTTAGTCGAGCTTTTGCATTGTTCTTTGTACTGTGGAGTATATGCGGCATTTGTTCAACGGTTTAGAATTGGAACCATGAAACTATTTTTCAACAAATTCTTTTTTGGCATCTGATCCCCTCATTCCCATTTTTCCAATCTAAAATAATGGAGTGATTTTTCGAGTCAAATTAGAAAATTTGGGTTCTAATTAATCTTAATTTCTACTGCATATTAGTAAAATTAAAAAAATTGAAATTTCTGAACAACATTAATCTAATATAATCATTTTATTCTAATACGCATTATATTTTTTATTTAATTGAGCTTCAAAATTTATTTAATTTGACTCAAAAAAGTTAAATTAGATAAATAGTATTAGATGGAGTGAGTATTATTTTAAAATGAGCTATTGATCTTGACCAACAAATAGACTTTCTAAAAAGGAGGTCTTTTGATTGAGTGATATGGCTTTCGGGCATATGTTAGTGATTGCGTATTTAATATGAGAATGGGATTACGATTAATTGTCATTGAATGTTCATTTCTCCTACCATAATGCTAGAGGACATTTATAGCAATGTAATCAACTGATCAAACCACGACCGAGATGCATCTTCAGTTCGGTCTAATGTAAAATCCATAGTTTTAAAAACCAGACCGATCAAGACTCTGGCTCACTCGTCAATTAGTTGTTCAAACATACACACACACGTACAAATATATGAGAGTTGACCAAAATTATAATCAACTTAATTTACTGGAGTTATGTCACTAAATTAAAAAATAATTATGATGTGTGGGAGAAAACAATTGTCAATGCGTTAGAAGGACGTAGCCACGCCGGTTTCTTAACCCCCACGGGTTTTCCCAAGCCAACCGACGAACAAGAGCTTGCAGCATGGAAGGCTAATTAATAACTCTATTATCTGCTCTTGGATATGCAATAGTTTTGATGAACATAAACAACCGTCCATTATTTCACACAAAGTGGCTCACGAGTTGTGGTTAGATTTGAAAACACGTTATGGGGGTCTAACTGCCCTCGTGTTCATCAATTGAATATTGGCCTTCAATCTCTCCGGCAAAAGGGTCAAACCGTGGTGGTTTACTACGACCAATTTGTGACTATTTGAAACAAACTTTATGGATCGGTCGATCCTACGTGCTACTGCCGTTGTGAAGCTGCCGTACTTATTCAAGCTTGAGAAGAACAAGAGAAAACCCACCACTTTTTACTTGGTCTTCACGACGAACAATTTGGCCACAACCAGTCCCAACTCATCGCTACCGAACTTGTTCTCGACATTCACCGGGCTTATGCTTTGATTGTCTAAGAAGAGCGTCACAAAAATATTGTTCGCGGTAGGGATGATCGGACCAATGTATTAGCTTTTGCCATGCAGCGACCTAATGCGACAATGGGTCGTGGGGACCCTCCTCTTTACTCTTTTACACATTGCGGCAAAGATGGCCACTCGAAGGACCGCTACTACCAGTTGCACGGCTACCCACCGGGAAAAGGTCGTGGCTGCAGGGGAGTTTCTGGCCCGGAGGAGGCGTAGGCCGAGGGTTCGTCCATGGGTCATCTGGTGGCAATCTGTCTGCTGGCAGGGGCAGGTACGCTGACAAGGGGAGCACATGCCGCAGGGGGAGGGTCAGGCCCGAACCCCAACCCTTTGGGCCTTACATCCGATCAAGTCTCTCGCGTGTAATCCATGCTTGACACTTCTTCTTCCGAGAAGGGTACCAGTACTAGTGGTGAGTCCTCTTCCCATGAGTAGCTCATCGACAGCGGCGCTTCCCATCATATGACTGGTAATATCTTGTATACACACTTCGAATAAATTTTTTCTGCGTAGCACCAAATACATGTCTGTCGGGTACCCCACTAGTACTAAAGGCTTGCGCGTTTATGATCTTGACACCCATCGTTTCTTTCACACCCGTGATATCTCATTTGATGAGAGTCAATTCCGGTTTTCCATAACCACAAAGTCCCCCGAAACCCCAAATTCCCCTCCCCTAGCCGATTTCCCAGAATTCCTGATGTCCAACCCGTCGGCTCTCCCTACACAGCCGGCCGAACCGGCTATCCCAACGGTCCCGATCACTCAGCCAGCCCAGCCTGAGGACCACAGCGCCGGCGACAACAACACTGACACTCCCAACGATACAGCCGTCGTACCCCATTCTCATCCACAACAGCAGCATCGTCAGCCTTCCCATCTTAATGATTATATCGTTAGTTCTGTTCAATCTAATGCTTCCTTGTGTGCCTTTCCTACTCGATATTCGTCTTCAGGTACACATTGTCTTATTGCCAACTTTGTTTGTTATTATAACTTGTATTATAGGTACCACGGATTTTTGGGAGCTATCAGTCCCCACTTTGTTCCCAAGAATTATGCTGAGGTTGTCCCACATTCCAATTGGCGTGAATCCATGCACAAGGAGATTCAAGTCCTGGAGAATAATCATACTTGGGATCTCATGGCATTACCCCCCAACCGTACAGCTTTGGGGTGTTAATGGGTTTTTAAAACAAAATTCAACTCTGATGGTACTAAAGAGAGTGACAAGGCCAGACTCGTTGTTCTTGGAAATCACCAAACATTGAGGTTGATTATACATATACTTTTGCTCCCGTTGCAAAAATGGGATCTGATTGGGTGCTCTTGGTCGTCGCTGCTGTTAAGGGGTGGCAAGTCCACGAGCTTGATGTCAACAATGTCTTTCTTCATGGTGATTTAGTGGAGGAAGTTTACAAGCGTCTGCTCTCTGCTGCCTGGGTATGCACAGCGTCATCCGAGCAAGGTGTGTCGCCTGCGTAAGTCCTTGTATGGCTTGCGTCAGTCTCCCTGCAATTGGTTTTCTAAACTAACATGCGCCCAGTGGCGGACCCAGGAATTTTGGTGAGTGGGTTCACATTTTGTGCACAAAAAGAAAAGAGAAATTTACTTAAATAGCACTAAAACATAATGACTTTCTCCANAAATAGCATCACATGTGTTTTTCTTCTCAATGTAACACTTTTAGTCATTATGCATTAGTCATTATTCAAGCAAATATTCGACATCACTGGACATTATTGATATTCTTCCCAATGTGCTATTTAGTGCAAATATTTCAAAAGAAAATGTTGATATTTGTATAGCAATAAATTTAAAACAAGGTAAAAAAGTATCAATAAATAGCATTCTGAGATAAATATTGCAAGTTGTATGTAATATTTTTGAAATAATGTATAATAAATATAATACGTTCATTGCTTTTACCAAAAAAGAAAAAAAACTAAACAACTAAAATATTAATTCTAGAAATTTCTTCAAATACTAAGTATATTTTAGGAATCTTTTTAAAAAAATTAAACTTGTTCATACATTTCAAAAAATTGAACATTTTATAATTAAGTTTCGTAATTAAATTTAAATCAATTTTCCAAATCTAAAATAATTAAAACATAAAATTCTACACAATTATAAAAGGTGTTCTCTGTTCATTTTCAAAAAAAATAGCACCTAATCACATATAAATATACTCTTCTTGGATGCCCTTAATCTACATATAATAGCTAATTACTTACTACTACTAATAAATAATTTTTTTTGGAGTGGGTGCAATTGACCCCACTTGCACAACCATAGGTCCGCCCCTGCATGCGCCCTACGCCGTTATGGTTTCCGACAGGCTCATGCTGATCATACCTTTTTCATTCATCGCTGCGGCCCTGATATTTTGATTGTGCTGGTTTATGTTGATGATATTTTGGTTGTAGGTAATAACTCTCACATGTGTCCTTCTTTTAAGGCTTATCTACATCAGTGTTTTTCACCTCAAAGATTTGGGACCCTTATCTTATTTTTTGGGCATTGAGTGTGCTCGATCTGTAGAGGGGATAGTCATATGTCAGTGAAAATATGCCTTGGATATTCTTCACGAAGCTGGTATGGTGGGATGCAAGCCAGCCGACACTCCCATTGTGCCCAATCACAGCTTGGCCCGGCCTAGTAGTGCCGAACTTCGGGACCTGGCTCAGTATCGGCGTCTCATTGGTCGCCTGATTTATCTCACCATTACTCGACCAGATCTCTCATATTCCGTCCATGTTTTGTCCCAGTTTATGCATGCTCCCTGGCATGATCACATGGATGCCGCACGACGAGTCCTTCATTACTTGAAGGGACATCCGGGACGGGGCATACTACTTCGCAGTGATAGTTCCTTACAGCTATCTACTTATTGTGATTCGAATTGGGACTCTTGTCCTCTTACTCGAAGGTCTACCAGTGGTTACTTCATTCTCTTAGGTGGGTCTCCTGTCTCGTGGAAGACAAAGAAACAAACCACCGGTTTGCGTTCTTCTCCTGAAGCTGAATATCGCTCGATGGCCAATGCTTGTGCAGAGGTGCGCTGGATTAGGGGACTTCTTGGGGCTCTCAGCGTGACTCCAGCCACTACCCCACGCCTGTTCTGTGATAATAAGTTTGCCCTATTCATTGCTGCAAATCCGGTTTTCCATGAACGTATGAAACACATTGATATTGATTGCCATATCGTCCGTGAATGTGTTCAACGTCGTGATATAATAACAGCTTACGTACCCACTTGTCTGCAACTGGCAGATTTATTTACAAAATAAAGCATTGACTCATCCTTTATTCTCTTTCTTACTATCTAAGTTGGGCATTCGAGATCTTCATGCGCCAACTTGAGTGGGAGTATTAGCATATATATGTGTATATATACATATATATATATACATACATACATACATACATACATATATATATATATATGGGATTGACTCCAGTGAGATGACACCTTACGGTGAGATGACATGCTTCGGTCAGATAACGCAAAGCTCACCACTGGCCACTGCAAAGCTCACCAAAGACAATTACAAAGCTCACCAAACTGTTAGACAAAGCTCACCATATTTTTTAACATTTTGAATTTGTTTTGAAAAAAAATCAAAGGAAGGGGTGCTGGCTAGACTTAGACCATTGACCATTGACCGTTGACAATCACCGGCCACCGCCTGCCACCGCCGCCTTCCGCCGCCCACCTTTGGCCACCGACCACCGCCGCCGGTCTCTACCGCGCCGCCGCTGTTGACCGGTATCGCTATTTTATTTTTAATTATTTTTTTAATTTTCAAAATTAAAAAAAAGTGAGTTTTGGTGTTCAAAGTGGTGAGCTTTGCTTTATTTCCAGGTGAGCTTTACATTGGTCATTGGTGAGCTTTGCAGTGTAATGTGGTGAGCTTTGCGTCATCACACCGAAGCATGTCATCTCACTGTAAGGTATCATCTCACTGGAGTCAATCCTTATATGTGTGTGTATCTATTTTGTGTATTGTACGGTCTTGGCCCAATAGCTTTAGATGTAGTCCATGTATCTTGTATATATATATTTGTTGTGATTATTGAAGTAACACAATCAAGTTTTACACAATTCTACAAAAACGTTTGACAATGATAAAAAATAAATAAATTTTAACTTCAAACAAGTATTCAAATAAAAAATTATTTTTAAAGTAGAAAAATAAAATATAAAATATATCATAACATATTATAATTATGATATTTCAAATATTTTACCTGTATATGTTTTTAAGTGATTATTATATCTTTTTACTTTTAAACTAAGATTTTCTTTTCTCAGTGGGGGGCAAACAATTTTTTTATGGGGACCGTTCTTTTAATTCTCTACAGAAAAAATTATTTTAGTACTATATACTAAGAAGTAAAAAAAAATTGACTTGGGAGGAATAACCGGTATTCATATCCGCCCCTGGGAATATAACTCGAAAACTTCAATTCTTACCATAAGCGCATGCATGACAGAAGCTATCCTTGGCCATTTATATAATTAAACACGCACTGGTAACTTACCATACCAAGAAAAGTTTAAATTATTATAATTATAGCCGTTACAAAAACTACACCATTAAGGAGATCTCGAACAAGAAGAAGAAGATCAGAAGCAATAATATATATAATCTTATTATTATTATTATTATAGAATCGGAGAAAAGATTAGAGAGATCTATGCAAAGATTTTCAGAAAGATTATATAGTAATTAATGGCTGCAGCAGCTAATAATAACAATAACAATAAAGATTGGGGGAGTAGTCGTTGTGCAGCGTGCAAGCAATTGAGAAGGAGATGCCCTTCGGATTGCATATTTATGCCATATTTCCCACCAAATGATCCTCTTAGATTCGCTTCTGTTCACAGAATCTATGGCACCAACAATGTCGCCAAGATGCTCCAGGTTCCGCCTTTCCTTCTTCTTCTTCTTCTACTACTACTACTATATACTTCGCGACTCCCTGCGGTCAAAGTTTGTTCAGTTTGACCTGAAATGCACCCGACCTTCTGACCCCAATATCTTTACCGGCATCACAAATACGGAATTATACTGTTTTGTGAGATTCTCCGTAAAGGCATTGGGCCGGAAGGTGGAGCGCGAGTAACTTGCTGGGGTACCCAAGGTTCTTTTTTTATTTCTCCGTAGTAAAATGTGTTCGGTAACGAGTGAATTTTGGGAAAGCAGGAAGCGGAAGAGCACCAACGAGCAGACGTGGCAGAGTCGTTGTACTACGAGGCACAATGTCGGCTGAATGATCCAGTGTACGGCTGCGTGGGAATGATCGCCGTTCTGCAGCAGGAAATCCAGCGGTGTGAGTGGCTGTTGGCGAAGGTGGAAGCACAGATCCAGCTCCTCAAGGCTCAAGCTGCTGTGGTTGTTGATCCAAATTCACATTGATTTCATCACAATGTCATAGTATATTCATTGGCTGCTGTTTTAATTTTTCCTATTTTTCATCTCTCTTTTCTTTTCTTTCATAAGAGAGCCTTTGAAGATCACAAAACGTTTACATTACAACGTTTACGAATAACAACAACAACAACAATAATAATACTTGCTTCATGTCTCAGTGCGTTTACTGTCATTAGGTTGTTCATGTCTCTGTATGTGCTTACTTTGTTCGTGCTTTCGTCGCCTCTTTGTTGGTTTAATTTGCCCGTGTTTGAGCCCGGGTTTCTTGAAAACAAGGGTATATATATATGAGATCTATGTATATAAAGAAGAGCTTAATTAAGAAGCTGCAATTAAAGTATGAAGCAAAGCAGAGAAGACAACAAAGAAGAGCTTAATTAAGGAAGCTTCATTAGCAGGAGCAGCAAAGGAGAGCTTAATCAAGTACTTGTTAGCAAGGACAGAAAGATTATAATAGGAGGAACATGGCTTATTTGACACGGAATATTGATTTCCAAAGAGATCATCATATCACAAATTGGAATACACATTACATTGCGTTCCCACGTATGCCGCGTAGGACATGAACTAACTTATACATAGCTTACCTGCGAAAACAAGAGTTGAGCATTTTGTCCAAGAACTGAAAATAGGCAATCCTCCAAGATGTGACAAGAATCAAGGAGACACAAACCCCCCCAGAGCCCCACTGCAAATCCAATAGCCATGCCCACGTAAAACCAGTCGACTTCCGAATGTAACTGGCCGGAAGCATTAAAACCTTGAAGCTGTATGTACCTTCCCTGATAGATTGTTATATGACAAATTCAAAACACCCAAACTGGAGAGGGTTGATGGGATTTCACCCGAAAGATGATTGTCAGAGAGATCAATGGATTCTAATAACTTCATATTTCCCATTTCCTTGGGAATATATACTTCCCACCAAGTTGTTTCTTGACAAATTCAAGGATCTCAATGCCACCAACTGGGATAGTTCAATTGGAATGCTTCCAGTAAAACTGTTGCTTGGGGGCGAACAAGCGTAAAATGATATCATTGTACTCATATTCACGTCCTTTTGTTGTCACTAAAGCGGTCTACAAATGACCTCGCCATTGTCATCTCAAATGTGTCATCAACGTCTTGAATGTCCTTCTCATTGACCATTGCGGTTAGATTTTGAAGGCATTTAGGCATAGCACAAAAAATGTTGTAATTAGAAAGGCATAAAATATGAAGGGACGAAAGATTTCATAAACAAAAATTCTAGAGGCAATTCACAGTAGAACTTATTCAATCGGAGCCTTAAGATTGCCAAATTTGAAAGACAAGTCCCTAGCCATCAAGGGATATTCCCTGTGAACCCATTCTCCCCCAAATCAACTTGGAATAAAAGGGGGCAATTTTGCAATGACGGAGGCATATGACCAGAGAGTAGGTACCACTAAATTGGTTAGAGCCCAAGTACACCTATTCCTTCAAATCTATTTGGAAATGATATAGTTTGAATTTCACCTTGCAATTGATTGTGCGAAAGATTAACTCGATCAAACTGGGATCTCATCCTTTATCCCAGTTTGAGATATATCCACGTCTTGAAGGTAACGTTGAGATTGCAAACAAGTAGGAAAATGGGTCACCCAAATTCCTACAACTCAGTGCAAGGCCATAAAGTTGGAAGGGTGGCGTCCAATTTGGACTGACATTCAAGGTTAATCGATTTCGAGATGCGTATAAATCCCTTAACATGCTGAGATTGGAAAAATGGTTTTCGGTGACTATCCCTTCCAACTTGTTGTCAGAAACATTTTAATACTAGTATTTTGACCCGTGCGATGCACGGGGTCGAACGAAACTATTGTCGATTTTGAAATTTTTCAATGAAATATTTATTCCAGAATCAAGTAAATATATTTCTGTCACAAATTTTAATCAATGGAAAACAACGACAAAGTAGAATATAATACTTGAGAAATTGAAAGTGTACTCGAAAAAATCTTTTTTAATTCCAAATTTTTTGAAAGACTTTAGTTACACAACATTTTTTGTATCTTTGTAAGCGTTTTTATTTTCATCTAGAACCAATATTTTTAATCATGTCTTTTTCTTACTCGTGAAACAGTAACATAAAGCTAACCATGAGTAAATCCCGAATTGGTTAAAAATAATATAGCTAAGGACAATGTTTGACATTGACTTTTGTTTATAGTCATAGAAAAACATAAGACTATTATATTGAGAATTCTATCAGATGATACCAAATTTTATTCAGGGTATGTAAACCTTTTTCTCCAACGTAATTTCTCGAAACATCAATTACATTGATAATGTTCTTTCACATCTCTTTAATGATTAATCTTTTACTATTACACAATCAATATATTTGGTCAATGTTCTTCAATAACATAATCGGTACCCCTTTTAAAAACTATTTTATGGTTTCAATCCCCTAACATTTGATTTCATTAAGAAGAATTGAAATGTTATCTAATCGTCTTCAACAACTACATCTAAATATGTTTGACATGAAGAATGAGAACTTAAGTACTCTTTTTTACCTCTTAGAATAAGGGATAAGACAAATTCATTTGTCATTTAACAAATTCGATTGTAGGTGCTAATAATGCACTATCCTTAAAAAAGAATAATTTTTTCATGTTCTCTAATAGGTTTGTATAAGTAAAGTCCACTATACTCTTGAGGGGGTAACTTGTGTCAAGCATCAAGAATTTAAGCGGGATTTCAACGTCAGCAGTTTCATCGATCACTTGTCCAAGTTTTCCATCTTTGACTTTGCTTATCAATACAGAAAAAGATTATGTGTCCCTATCAGTGCAAGAGCGTGTAGATAAATGCAATCTCATATTCTTAGCTAACCTATAAACTTTACATTACATTCACATTTGTGAGAATTGGTGTTAGAACCCACAATTTCCTCTCTCTACGCTATGAGTAGACCTGAAAGAATTTGGATAAAACCACCTCCGAGTATAGCTCTTTTCCCTCCGAATGGTTCATTTATGAAGTTATTATTAAAAAATCTCATTACATCTCTCATTTTTCCGAAAAAAATTAGTGGGTGACTCATGGTACTTGTCACTAATAATGTGACTAACAACTTTTTTAGCAGATTCCTACATCTTGACTTAACAACCTCTTTCATACCTTCAATAAATTCTTTATCATCGGTTAATAACATCAATGCTTCACATTCTTCCTTGAATGCATTATGTAGAACATTGTTAACTGTCCTCAAGCGCTTGTAATTTGTACATCCTTGTTGGACATTTAATACTTCTCAAGTAGTATAACTCTCTAGTTTCTGTAAGCACGTATTGTAGTCTGCCTATTGACGGTCGTTGTTGCCTTTGAACTATTTCCGCACTTTGGGGTTGTACATAAAATATTCTCGAAACTCTTTGCATACGTCAAATTTTATCCCGCATTATATTTTGTATTGAAAACCATCCAAGCTTCAAACATTGAGGCTTTATCAATAAATTCTTCGACAACATCTTTTAGTTTTTGTTGGTGTCTAAAGGTTACGAATTTTAGCCTTGGGTTATAAAAATTCAATCTCAGTACTGATCACTACCTTTGTTGTATATCAAAAGAGAGGATTATCCAAGAGGCTTCACATGCAGATACGTAATGACAATCAGAATACTTATTTGTTTCATAATACACCATAATATCAATAATTCCAAAGTTAGATTGGGTAACTGCAACAGTTACTTTATCTAGATCTATATTTACATATTTAAAGAGATATTTGATTGAATTAGATTTATTTCAGTGTCCAATGTTGTTTGATCTTGAAACCTCATCAAGAGTTGTGGGTTGTATGTCACAACAATTCGATTATCCAACTCGATATTCTTTTTCATTATATTGTGGTGACCTCTAAGGTTCTTCTTTTGTATATCAGGTAATTATTCCCATCAAACGATGTCTTATCAAGAAATTTTTTGGGAAAATGTTTCATAAATTTATCATACTCCATATATAGAGATCTAGGATCATTTATGCTACATGGATCATGCATCAATAATCGAGTTACGAACTCATGAAATCTAGGATATTTATCTTTATTATGAACCTCTACACATGTCACACGAACAATTGACTCAAGCAATTGAAGTTTATCCCTCTAGTGTGACCATATTAAGATATGTGCATGAAGCAAGCTTCTCATTTGAAATTCAACCGTGTACAAACATGCACAAAATCATTACATTCAAATGACAATATTTTAAATTGAATGTCCATTTAAATTGTTTTTTATTATACAATATCAAATATTTAAACAACTTAATTTTTTTATGTTATATACCATTTAAATTTCACACACACACATACACACACACACAAAATCTAGGTTTACTAAATTATTACAAATATATAATTCTTCTCACCCCCTGAATT